AAAGCAGCCCCATCAGACTACCTCAGGAATTCATGGTGGAAGAGGTGCCATTGGAAAATGGCTTAGTTGGGATTTTCCCCAAGAACACTAGAGGGGAGAGAAGAAGAATAGAAGAGCTTTAAATTTTAGCAGGTATATCTTTTTCTTTTTTTAATTAAAAAAAAATCTTATTGGCCTCTATTTTTATAGATTGAGGTCAAGCTGAATTAAACTCCTAGGCTCAACAGATTCTCCCACTTTGGCCTCCTGAATAGCTGGACTAAAGGTGCACACCACTAGGCCCAATGTAGTGGCTATTTCTTGACAAATCTTGACATTGCCACCAGTGTGCTTTTCTTTAGAGACAGACTCTCCCTTTACAGCCCAGGCTGGAGAACTGGACTCTCCAGTGAGAGTCTCTCACTGCAGCCTCAAACCCAGGGATAAAGAGATCCTCCTGCCTCAGCTTCTCAAATAGCTGAGACCACAGCTGCACACCACCATACCTGGCTAATTTTTTTTTTTTTTTTGAGACGGAGTTTCGCTCGTTACCCAGGCTGGAGTGCAATGGCGTGATCTCAACTCACTGCAACCTCCGCCTCCTGGGTTCAGGCAATTCTCCTGCCTCAGCCTCCTGAGTAGCTGGGATTACAGGGACGCGCCACCATGCCCAGCTAATTTTTTTGTATTTTTATAGAGACGGGGTTTCACCATGTTGACCAGGATGGTCTCGATCTCTTGACCTTGTGATCCACCCGTCTCAGCCTCCCAAAGTGCTGGGATTACAGGCTTAAGCCACCGTGCCTGGCCCTGGCTAATTTTACAATTTTTATTTGTAGAGACAGCATTCTTGCTATGTTGCCCAGACTGGTCTCGAACTCTTGACCTTAAGCAATCCTCTCCTCTTCACCTCCCAAAGCCCTGAAATCACAGGTATGAGCCATCGCATCCAACCTGCTACCAGTTTCTTTGCATACTTCTTTGCTAGGCTTGACCAGGACCTTTACTTTCTTTTGTGTATAGCTCAGCATTAAAAAAAAAAAAAGTTTAGGTTGGGCACAATGGCTCAACACCTGTAATCCCAACACTTAGGGAAGCCGAGGTAGGAGGTTTGCTTGAACCCAGGAGTTCCACACTAGCCTGGGCAAGATGGCAAGACTGTGTCTCCACAAAAAAATTTTGAAAAATTATCCAGGTGTGCTGGCATATGCCTGCAGTCCCAGATAGTGAGAAGGCTAAGGCAGGAGGATCCCTGGAGCCCAGCAGTTCAAGGCTACACTGAGCTGTGATCATCACTGTCCTCTAGCCTGGATGATAGGATGAGACCCAGTCTCTAAAAACAATTCAAAATTTTAAAAAGCTTAATAAAAAAAAAAGGATCCTTTTTATAGTATTTTTCCTCATTAACTTTTTGTTTTCCCTAGGCTATATGCACAACAGACAAAGTTGAAATTTAATCTTAATCTCTTAAACCCTTACTGTCCAAACACATCAAACTTAAAAAAAAAAAAAAAAGGTAAAAGGTGTACAAGAGAAAAAGGGAAGTAATCTGTGCCAAATGTACATTCCTTCCAGAGTTTCGGACAAAAATGATGTCTACCTGGTCTCTGGGTGCTAAGATAAGACATTAGAGACAGAGTCCCTTCCTTCAAGAAATAAGAAATTAGACACTAAGATACAATTAAACAGACTTTGAAACTTGGTATGCACTACTGGGAGGTGACTCACACCTGGCAGGGTGAAGGGCAACTGGAATAAAAGCTCCTAAGGGCAAGGACTAAGTGGCTCACTTCCTCTGTTACACTGCCATGCCCAGCACTGTACCAGCACCCCAGCAGATTCAACAACTTTCCTTCAAGCCACATACTTAAAGTCTCATCGTCTAGTTGGGGGTCACAGATGAGACATAGTGTGCCAAATCCCAAACGTACAGGGTGCGAGACAAGTCTGCAGGAGACAGGAGGATTAGGAAAGCCTTCCAGGCAAGGTAATACCTGAGCTGAGTTTTCTTTTGAGTTTGGAACATTAATTTAATCAGAGGAAAACAAGGGACATGAAAAGGGCTAGGAAATAAGAAAATGAGCTGAGTTTTGAAGGTGATGATTAGATGAAGTGAGAGAATAATATTCCAGCAGAGGGAGGCAAGGAGACTGGCGAGATTTCAAGGGGCCAAGAGCTGTTCAGGGAAAACAGGTCAAAGACCAGTATTGAAGTGTTCCGGATACCAAGCGAAGGAGACCTTATTACAAAGAAAGTGGGGCTGTTGAAAGGTTTAAATGGGAGAGTGACTGTGAACAGATTAACAGTTTGGAAAGATACAGGTAGGAGTAAACCTCTGGATTTAACCAAAAATAAAGGACAAAACCACAATGAAGATATTGGAAAAGATCAGGAAAAACATTCTTAAAAATACTCTCAGCCAGGTGTAGTGGCTCATGCCTGTAATTCCAGCACTTTGGGAGGCCAAGGTGGGTGGATCCCACTGTACAGTAAGGAACAGGCTGTCAGGAAGCTCCAGCCTGTCCCTTATTGTTCCCTTACTGAGCTGAGCAATTTGCATAATACCACACAGGTTAGTCATGTGATTTAAACCTGTATATGATAGCAATTTTGATACTATCACTTAAGTCATTCAAAATATCAGATGTATTGTGTCAAGTCAGTTATAGGGAACCACTGCTTCAGAGAAATCACAGCTGAAGAGGTCAGAAATTCAAGACCAGCCTGGTCAACATGGTGAAACCTCATCTCTACTAAAAAAAAAAAAAAAAAAAAAAATACAAAAATACAAAAATTACCCAGGCATGGTGGTGCATGCCTGTAGTCCCAGCTACTTGGGAGGCTAAGGCAGAAGAATCACTGGAACCGGGAGGCAGAGGTTACAGTGAGCAGAGATTGCGCCACTGCACTCCAGCCTGGGGGACAGAGCAAGACTCCATCTCAAAAATAAAAATTAATAAAAATAAAAATAAAAAAAACCCTATAAGGTATACAGAAAAGAAACAGAAAAAAAATTCACTCTCTTCTCTCTTCTTTACAAATTTCGTTTATGGAGTTACCAAATTATCCTTTGAAAACAGAGAACTCAGAAGTGGCTGAGAGCAGTCAGTCTTCAGAATGTAAAAATTACTATTGTGGGCCAGGCACAGTGGCTCACGCTTGTAAACCCAGCATTTTGGGAGGCTGAGCTGAGTGGATCATGAGGTCAGGAGATCAAGACCATCCTGGCTAATACGGTAAAACCCCATCTCTACTAAGAATACAAAAAATTAGCCGGGCGTGGTAGCTCGTGCCTGTAGTCCCAGCTACTCGAGAGGCTGACGCAGAAGAATCACTTGAACCCAGGAGGCGGAGAGTGCAGTTAGCCAAGATTGCACCACTGCATTCCAGCCTGGAAGACAGAGCAGGACTCCATCTCAAAAAAAAAAAAAATTGCTATTATGAAGAAAGTAGATATTACATCATTAATTTCATTTCAAGATGCTTTAAAAATGTATCTTTTGATACACTGCAGTTTTTTTAAGAGTATGTCACAATATTTCTAAATCTTATTCGAGATTAACAGCAGAGCACTATAAATTTTTTTTTATTCCAAAATGTTTTTTTTTAAATTGCATTTGTTTTGGGGTACATGTGAAGAACATGCAAGATAGTTGCATAGGTATACACGTGGCAGTGTGATTTGCTGCCTTCCTCCCCTTCACCTATATCTGGCATTTCTCCCCATGCTATCTCTCCCCAACTCCCCACCTGCCGCTGTCCCTCCCCTATTCCCCCAACAGACCCCAAGAGCAATATAAAGTTTTAAGTCTTCACAGACACAGAGATCATCTGTTATGTTCACTTTGAAACAGATCATAATTGTCCCTCCCCCTCAACATACCCAAAATACATTGTTTAAGCCTACTTTCTTAATGGTCATGTTGTTTCACAGCAAAAGACTGAGGTCACAGTTTAAAAGATTTCTGAGCTGATAAGAGGACCCCCGGGGGGGGGGGGGTTCTTTACCTTGCAGCTAGTCTATTCAATACTAACAATTCCAACCAACAGGAGGAATTTCCCTGCCTAGGCTTATTTTGTTGGCACACCACAGCACACAAGAAAATCCTGGGGCGGGGCGCAGTGGCTCATGCCTGTAATCCCAGCACTTTGGGAGGCCAAGGCAGGCAGATCACCTGAGGTCAGGAATTTGAGGCTACCATAACCAACATGGAGAAACCCCAGTCTCTACTAAAAATACAAAATTAGCTGGGGGTGACAGCGTATACCTGTAATCCCAGCTACTAGGAAGGCTGAGGCAGGAGAATCACTTGAATCTGGAAGGCGGAGGTTGCAGCGAGCTGAGATTCTGCCACTGCACTCCAGCCTGGGCAGCAAGGGCCAAAACTCCATCACACACACACAAAAAAAATCCTGACAATTTATATCCAATAAGAAAAGATTTAACAATGGTCAGAATAGGAACATCTTTAATGCCAGGCAAACATAACAGCTTTCTCAGTGGACTTCTCAGCAGACTGTGACAAACGACCTCAAAGTAAACTCGTATTTACTCTTAAGAAATAATCTATATTTGAATCTTCTTAACAGCAAAAGCCCCAGGAACTTTTTCCTACACTCCCTAACAGCAGCAGCAAAACACCAGATTCTCAGCTCTCTTTATTTTTAAAAATCACAATAAAATAATTAACCCTGTATTTATTTGCTATTTACAATCACCATACATCACCATTTACTATTATCATTGTTTAATAAAAGATGCTTTAACACCAAGAAAGCAGGACTTTTTTTTAGAAAGGATAGTTCTTTAATTGAATAAATTTAATTGTATGAAAAGACTCCTAATATGGTCCTTTCCTTCTTTTTATGCTAAAGCCCACACAATACTCCATTCTAGAGGACTGATCACAGTGTCTCTGATTCATTTTCACCAACTACAAAGTCACCAACACTCCCCACTCCCATCTTTGAGGAGGGACTGCAAAACAGTGTCATTGAACTGGTGAGAAGATGAAGTTCCATCATCAGGTGGCATAATCCTTACCTGTTCCTCCTTTGGAAGACAGATAAAACATGATGATTGAAGATGCATGAAATGTTTCAAATTTAATTATTAAAAAAAAAAAAAAAGACTCAGTTCCTCCTGTAGCTGAAGAAGACTCTACAGGCCAAGACCTGCTGAATGTTAACATTAGCACCTCAAGCTTCTTTCCATCCCTCCAAACTTCGCAGGTGGGGAAATGAAGGTTCAGAAAGCAAAGCTGACTTGCCCAAAGCCATAAGGCCAAGAACATTTCTCCAGCCTCCTGACAGCCAGTCCCTTACTGTTCCCTTACTGAATGAGCTCAGCAGTTTGTGTAATACCACGGGTTAGTCACGTGATTTACATCTGTATATGATAGCAATTTTGATATTATCACTTAAGTCATTCAAAACATCAGATGTATTGTGTCAAGTCAGTTATAGAGAACCACTGCTTCAGCGAAATCACATCTGAAGAGGACACACTGCGGATACACCCCCGAAAGTTCATGTTTGAAACTGAAATTTTGATACAAACTTCACTTTAACTGTAAATGTAATTACTACAGTTATTCTCCACTCACTAGATACTGTACTTGACACACATTTGGTCTGCTACCAAAGTGCAACAGTGATAAAGCTTTCCTATGGCACAACATTCACTTTCTTACTGAAAATGTCAAGAACACCCCTACACACCTGCAACCATTACGAAGCACTCTCCACCTATCTAAAAAGTCACTGAGTCTGCTCAGCGACTCTGCATGGTGTACACTAAATCAAAGGGAAAAAGATGTTTTTATGGAGGAAAAAATACTGGATCAGCCATTTATTTATAGAAACAATTTTACCCAGAACAGGCCGGGCGCGGTGGCTCAAGCCTGTAATCCCAGCACTTTGGGAGGTCGAGGCGGGTGGATCATGAGGTCAAGAGATCGAGACCATCCTGGTCAACATGGTGAAACCCCGTCTCTACTAAAAATACAAAAAATTAGCTGGGCACGGTGGCGCGTGCCTGTAATCCCAGCTACTCAGGAGGCTGAGGCAGGAGAATTGCCTGAACCCAGGAGGCGGAGGTTGCGGTGAGCCGAGGTCGCGCCATTGCACTCCAGCCTGGGTAACAAGAGCGAAACTCCATCTCAAAAAAATAAAAAAACAAAAAACAAAAAAAAGAAACAATTTTACCCAGAACAATACTTCTCCTTCCACTATATAATGGTTTGGTTATTTTATAACATATTTATATTGTTATGCCTGGTTTTTTTTTTTGAAACATAGTCCTGTTTGTCCCCCAAGCTGGAGCGTAGTGGCTGGATCTCTGTTCACTGAAAACTCCGCCTCCCTGATTGAAGCGATTCTCCTTCCTCAGCTTCCCGAGCAGTTGGGATCACAAGTGCGCCACCACACCCGGCTGATTTTTTATTTGTAATAAAGATGGGGTTTCACGACGTTGGCCAGGCTGGTCTCGAACTCCCGACCTCAGGTGATCCACCCACCTCGGCAAACTGCTAAGATTACAGGCGTGAGCCACTGCACTCAGCCTTGTTATGTCTGTTTTTGTTGTTTTGGGGTTTTTTTTGTTTTGTTTTGTTTTTTGATGGAGAATGCTGTCACCCAGGCTGAAGTGGAGTGCAGTGGCACAATCTCGGTTCACTGCAACCTACGCCTCCCGGGTTCAAGTGATTCTCTTGCCTCAGCCTCCTGAGTAGCTGGGATTACATGCAGGTGACATTACGCCCACCCAGTTTTTGTAATGGCTGGTCTCGAACTCCTGATCTCAGGTGATCCGCTGGTCTCGGCCTCCCAAAGTGCTGGGATTACAGGCACGAGCCACTGCGCCTGGCCTGGTTTTTAATTACTAAAAAACAACTATACTCCCTTTGGTATCATCTACATTCATAAAACTGCAGTCGACCCCCCGCCCCAAGCCACCAGAAATGACTGCTCTTGTCCACAAAGCCTACGGCTCTGATTTCATCTCAAGATATGTCCTACTGGGTGACAGCAAATGTCATTTTTTAAAGGTTTGTATCTGTTACAAACTTGGGAAGTATTTTCAACGGCTTAAAAGGCTCTTTTGACACAAGAAAACACTGTCCCCTGTAATCACCTGGGCAGTAGCCACAAGAATCTTTTCCTGGCCCTTCCCTACTTCAAATGATCAAGGACATTAACAAATCAAGTTCCTGCATTTGAATGATGACAGAATTTCTGCGTGTTCTGTAAATGGGTAAAACTACTGGAAACCGATTTCTTTTCGTCATCTCCAGGGCAGCTTGCCCAACTTGCCATGACTATGATGTCGTAGATTTAACTACCTAAGCTGATACAATTACCAAGTTCCTGGAAATGCAAAATTTCCTCAGCAAAACACCAGATTATTCACACCCAACCTGATGCAATGAGCCAGGTCTCCAGAAGAAAAGACGTTCCGTCGGCCTGGGGGGCCGGCCCCGGCAGAAGCAGCACCCGCAGCAGGCCCTGGGGCCGCCGCTCCTGGACTCCGCTCCCCGCGCTGCGCCCTCGGGGCCACGGAGCAATGCTGTCCCGCCCGAGGCAGGGTACCCGGACGATGGGTTAGCAGCCCCAGCCTGTCCCGGAGCGCCGGAAAGGCTAGCACTAGGGTCGTACCCGGCCTGTCCACACACTGACGAGCCGCAGGCGGGGTCCCAGAACCAGCTCAACCCCGGCACCAGCGGACGGAGGCCCGCGGATCTCCGCGGCAAAGCCTGCGGGTTGTCCCAGGAGCCTTGGAGCTCGGAATCGGGACGGCGCGGGAAGGGGTAGGCGCAGGCGCGGGACAGACTGGAGGGGCCCAGGAGGGGGACGGCGCAGGCGCGGGGCCTGCCGGGGTCTGCGGGGACGCCTGGGCCCGGCCGCGCGGGCGGCTCTGAGGCGATAAACCGACCCTCGGGCGAACACTGCGGGAACGCGGCCCCGGCTCTTACCGCGCGGCGCCGCATCGCTCCCTCGCAGGCTCGTGGCTGGGGCCGGGCGGAGCTCACCCAGTGGCTCAGCCGGGACCCGTTGAGTCCGACCTCAGGATAGCAACCAACCCCGCGGCGCCGCTTGCCGGGACCGCCTAGCCTCCCTCGCGGCCCCCGCCCTTGGCCCGCCCCTTCGCGCCCAGCAGGTTTGCGGCCGCCTGCGCAGGCGCCATGCGGACCCCGCCCACATTTCCTCATGGCGCAGGCGCCGCAGCCCCGCCTCTCTAGCGCGTGTCGCTCCCGACACTGGATCGCGCAGGCGCCCTACCACTTGCCTGGTCAAAAAAAAAAAAATACCCGGGCAGCCAATGCGCACGCGTCATGATTTGTGCCGGAGCCTAGCAAGGCGGGTCTCTTTAGAGGCCCTGCGTAATGTTGCTTAGAGTGCGCTAGTCCCAAAGACTGTCCTCAGCGTGTTTCCAGTGTGCCAAGGACGGTGCTAGGCATGAGCCAGACAGTGGTGAGAAAAACACAAAGCCCTTGCCTCCTGCCGCTCCCGATACATAAGGGAACATTAAAAATTCTATTATGGGGCAAATGAACAGGTTGCAATGATCATACAAGTTTTTTCCTTTGATAGTTTGTGCTACTTTAATAGTTTTTTATTACATCACCTTAGTTTCCTAGGAAAACCATAACTTGTTCGTTATACATGTTTAATACGTTGCTGGATTATTTGCTAATATTTTATTTAGCATTTCTTCATATTTGTCTGTAAGAAGTTAGTCTATACTTTTGCCTCCTTGTACTATTCATGTCTGGTTTGCTATTAAGCTTATACTAAATTCACAATGAGTTGGGGAGAATTCCATGTGCTTCTTTTTCTGAAAGATTATGTAGGCCGAGCGCGGTGGCTCACACCCGCAATCCTTAGCACTTTGGGAGGCCGAGGCAGGCGATTACCTGAGATCGGGAGTTCAAGACCAGCCTGGCCAACATGGTGAAACCCTGTCTCTACTAAAATTACAAAAAATTAGCCAGGTGCAGTGGCGTGCACCTGTAATCCCAGGAGAATCACTTGAACCTGGGAGGCGGAGGTTATGGTGAGCTGAGATCACGCCACTTCACTCCAGCCTGGGCTACAGAGAGACTTCATCGCAATTAAAAAAAAAATTTGGCTTTTGCAGAAACGCTGCCGCCGCCTGGAGCCTTTTAATATCAGCCATGGTCAACCCCACCGTGTTCAACATTGCTGTCGACGGGGAGCCCTTGGGCCGTGTCTCCTTTGAGCTGTTTGCAGACAAGCTTCCAAAGACAGCAGAAAACTTTCGTGCTCTGAGCACTGGAGAGAAAGGATTTGGTTATAAGGGTTCCTGCTTTCACAGAATTATTCCAGGGTTTATGTGTCAGGGTGGTGACTTCACACGCCATAATGGCACTGGTGGCAAGTCCATCTACTGGGAGAAATTTGATGATGAGAACTTCATCCTAAAGCATACAGGTCCCGGCATCTTGTCCATGGCAAATGCTGGACCCAACACAAATGGTTCCCAGTTTTTCATCTGCACTGTCAAGACTGAGTGGTTGGATGGCAAGCATGTTGTCTTTGGCAAGGTGAAAGAAGGCATGAATACTGTAGAGGCCATGGAGCTCTTTGGGTCCAGGAATGGCAAGACCAGCAAGAAGATCACCATTACTGACTGTGAACAACTTTAATAAATTTGACTTGTGTTTTATCTTAACCACCAGACCATTCCTTCTGTAGCTCAGGAGAGTGCCCTCTACCGCATTTGTTTGCAGTATCCTAAAATCTATGCTCTCGCTGCAGTTCCCTTTGGGTTCCATGTTTTCCTTGTTCCCTTCCATGCCTAGCTGGATTGCAGAGTAAGTTTATGATTATGAAATAAAGACTAAATAACAAAAAAAAATATGTGGAAGATAAAGACTCTGTTCTTTGCAGTGTTTGCTGGACTTGTCTATAAAATCATCTGGGCCAGGTGTTTTTCTTTGGTTTTGTTTTTTGTGAGATTTTTGAGGGGATGGGGTACAGACGATTTTACAATAAACATTCAATTTCTTTTCTTCTTCTTTTTTTTTTTTTTTAAGAGATGGAGTTTCGCTCTTGTTACCTACACCTGAGTGCAGTGGCAGGATCTCAGCTCACTGCAATTTCTGTCTCCCGGGTTGGAGCAATTCTCCTGCCTCAACCTCCTGAGTAGCTGGGATTACAGGCATGTGCCACCTCGCCTGGCTAATTTTGTATTTTTAGTAGAGACGGGGTTTCTCCGTGTTGGTCAAGCTGGTCTCAAACTCCTGACTTCAGGTGATCCACCCGTCTCCACCTCCCAAAGTGCTGAGATTACAGGCATGAGCCACTGCGCCCAGCCTCAATTTCTTTAACGGTTCTAGATATTGACTTTTCTGTTTCTTCCTAGTTCATTTTTATGAAGTTATATTTTTCTTTTGAAACAGTTTCTCTGTTGCCCAGGCTAGATTGCAGTCACTTGATCTCGGCTTTCTGCAACCACTGCCTCCCAGGTCCAAGTGATTTTCCCATCTCAGCCTCCTGAGTAGCTGGGATTACAGGCATGGTTCACCAGACCTGGCTAATTTTTGTGCTTTTAGTAGAGTTGGCGTTTTACCATGTTGGCCAGGCTGGACTCGAACTCCTGTCCTCGGATGATCCACCCGCCTTGGCCTCCCAAAGAGCTGAGATTAAAGGCGTGAGCCACCCCATCCAGACTGAAGTTGTATTTTTTTATAAATACAACTGTTTTTGTCTGTTTTGATATTTTCTTTCTTTTTTTTTTTTAATTGAGATGGAGTTTCGCTCTTGTTACCCAGGCTGAAGTGCAATGGCCGATCTCGGCTCACCACAACCTCCGCCTCCTGGGTTCAGGCAATTCTCCTGCCTCGGCCTCCTGAGTAGCTGGGATTACAGGCACGAGCCACCATGCCCAGCTAATTTTTTGTATTTTTAGTAGAGACGGGGTTTCACCATGTTGACCATGATGGTCTCAATCTCTTGACCGCATGATCCACCCGCCTCGGCCTCCCAAAGTGCTGGGATTACAGGCTTGAGCCACCGCACCCGGCCCTTTTGATATTTTCACAAAAAACTGGCATAAAGTTGTTTATGTAATTTCCTTATGATTTTTGTCTTAACATTATTTTTTTTTTTTGAGACTGAGTCTTGCTCTATTGCTCAGGCTAGAATCCAGTGGCCTGATCTCGGCTCACTACAATCTCTGTCTCCTGAGTTTAAGGGAATCTTGTGCCTCAGCCTCCCGAGCAGCTGGGATTATAGGTGCGTGCTACCTTGCCCAGCTAATTTTTGTATGTCTGGTAGAAACAGAGTTTCACCATGTTGGTCAGGCTGATCAGAGGCAGGTTTTCACCATGTTGGTGGGGCTGGTCTCAAACTCTTGACCTCGTGTGATCTGCCTACCTTGGCTTCTCAAAGTGCTAAGATTACAGGTGGGAGCCACCGCCTCCCATCCAGCCAACCCTTTCTTTTAGAAGTGTTTACAAGTTGTCCCTTGGAGGACAAGCCTTGTGTTGGGAATGTCAGAAATATTCGTGTGGGAATGAACAGGTCAGTGGGGGCTGAGTTTGATGGGTTATCTCCAGGTCAATCAAGCCTAAAGGTTTTAAGGCGGAGGGAAGGGCAGTGTGGATGTGTGGAGGCTCCTGAAAATGTCGGTTGCTCATTTACCCAGGAATTTACAGCGCTATCATTTCCAGTAACCTCCTAAGGAACATGGATGGAGTCAAGTCTTCCGTATCAAGTGATAAAACTGTGTAGTGGCCCAGGCGCGGTGGCTCCCGCCTGTAATCATAGGACTTTGGGAAGCCGAGGCAGCCGGATCACGAGGTCAAGAGATTGAGACCATCCTGACCAACATGGTGAAATCCTGTCTCTACTAAAAATACAAAAATTAGCTGGGCATGGTGGCGCGCGCCTGCAGTCCCAGCTACTCAGGAGGCTGAGGCAGGAGAATCGCTGGAACCCTGGAGACAGAGGTTACAGTGAGCTGAGATGGCGCCACTGCACTGCAGCCTGGCAACGGAGCTAGACTCCGTCTCCAAACAAAAAACTGTGTGGTGAACTGAGCAGTGATGGGGTCACATCAAGCCTGGCCCCATGGTGCAGGTGTCAGAAAGTAGAATGGAGGCAACACCCCCGGTGGCACCAGGAACCACCAGGTCGTTTTGCGACCCTCCGCACAGCGCCCCCTGCGGGCAGCTGCAGGTTTATTATCACTGCTTCATTCGTGGAATGTTGTGTAAGGGGTCTGCAACCCTCACCAACAAAGAAAAACCAGGTGGACGTTGCAGTGAGCCGAGATTGTGCCACTGCACTCCAGCGTGGAGCCTGGCGACGGAGTGAGACTCTGTCTCAAAAAAAAAAAAAAAAGAAAAAAAGAAAAACCAGGTCAGGAACAAATCATTTAAATTACAATGGGGGTGGCCAAGTAATTTCAAAAGACATTAAATATAACTACAAGTTGTACCTACTCATCTCTGTGAATCTCAAAAATATTTAGGCGGGACATCTCATGCCTGTAATCCCAACACTTTGGGAGGCAGAAGCAGAAAGATTGATCAAGCCCATGAGTTTGAGACCAGCCTCCACAACAAGGTGAAACTCTCGACTCTACAAAAAATACAAGAAATTAGCTGGGTGTGGTGTCCCACACTTGTAGTTTCAGTTATCTGGTCGACTGGGCGCCGCTGTCCCCAAGCCGCACAGCCACCCCTGCCATTGCCAGTAGGCGCCTAGTGTGTATACCTTGACCCCTCCGCTGCCATTGCCAGCAGGCACCTTGTGCCTGTACATTGCCCCCTCCGCCGCCATTGCCAGCAGGTGCCTCGTGTGCACACTTTGACCCCTCCCCGCCATTGCCAGCAGGTGCCTTGTGCCCATACATTGCCCCCTCCGCCGCCATTGCCAGAAGGTGCCTTATGCCCATATATTGCCCCCTCCGCGGCCATTGCCAGCAGGCGCCTCTCCCGCACACCTTGACCCCTCCCCGCCATTGCCCGCAGGTGCCTTTTGCGCATACCTTGCCCCCTCCGCCGCCATTGCCAGCAGGCAGGCGCCTCTCGAGCACACCTTGATCCCTCCGCGCCATTACCAGCAGGTGTCTTGTGCGCATACCTTGCCGCAATGATCTGTTAATGTCTCGCGTGCTTTGTGCGCGTGCCTCTCCCTCCAGTACCTATTTCGCTTGCCCCGCCCCGGCCCCTCCATTTTCCCACGGTTGTCAGCAGGTGCCTTGTGTGCCTGCCTTGCCACTCCAGTTCGTTAAGGTTCCGGGTCTTTTGTGTTCACTTCTCCTCCAGTACCTAATGCGCGCGCTGCCCCCCCACCCTACCACCGCGCCTCCAATCCTGCAGTTGCCAGCAGGTGCCTTATGCACGTACCTTGCAGCACCAATCCACTAAGGTCCCAAGTCCTTAGTGCGCGCGTCTCTCCCTCCAGTACCTATTGCGCTGCGCCGCTCTTTCGCCCTCCCGCCATTGCGAGCAAGTACCTTGTGCGCGTACCTTGCCACGCCAGTCCTTTCAGGTCCGGCGTCCTTTGTGCGCGCACCTCTCCTTCTAGTACCTATTGAGCGCGCCCCTCTACCCTCGAGGGCCCCGACTCCCGTCATTGCCCGCAGGTGCCTCGCGCTCATACCTTGCATTCCCCACCCCCCGCCATTGCCAGCACGTGCCTCGCGCGCAGGGTTTGCACCACTCCCCCTACCGCATTGTCAGCAGGTGCCTGGCGTGCATACCTTGTCGCGTGAATCCCTGAAGGTCGCCCTTCTGGCGCAGATCTTTCACTTGTGCCCATTTTTGCACGCGCCCCCACTCCCGCGGGTTTGAAAGATGCGTTGCCGGGCAACAGGAGAAACTGCTCCCTTAGTCTTTAGCCGAGTTGGCAGCTACAAGACGACGCTCAGAGCCCAGCTCTCGAGAGTTCAAACATCTGAAAGTTCCCCACTGCTCCGAGAAGGGGCTACCTGGGCACTCTGTGCCCCTTATCCCTGTCCGGCCCAAGTGCCAAGGACCTGCCAGTAGGGCTCAGTTGCCTTGAGCCCGCTCTCCCCATCCCTCCGTTCACCTTGCTTGTGGGATCTCCTCCCTGCTGTGTCAAAACAACTTCAAGAAGGTTTTCCAGCGATCCTGCCTCTGCCTTCAATTTGGATGCACAGGTACCACAGCAAGCTTCCAATTCCACACAAAAACTCTGTGGGGCCCAGGAGCAGGGAGTTACCTACCGCTTTGGGGTCCACAACACCCAGCTGAGGCCCAGACTCCTGTCCAGAGGAGATCGTGTTGAGAGCCCAAAGGGAGAGCGAGGCAGCGATGCCTGAGCAGGACAAGGACCCCAGAGTCCAAGAGAGTCCCGATGGTGAAAAAAGGGGTCCCGAGGGCACTAGGGATGCACAGTCTGCATTTAGGCCTGTATGGGATAATGGAGACCCCTTGCCCTTAGTGCCCAGGCCCGGGCCTCTGCAGAGAGACCTCCATGCCCAGAGGTCAGAAGTCAGATATGAGCAGAGATCCCAGCGTTGCAGGATGAGCCCCTGCCCCAAAAGAAATGCCATTTCCAGCTCCTACAGCTGCACGGGAGGCTTCCCGTGGCTAAAGAGGAGGAGGGGGCCAGACTCACCCGACTGCCATTTGACCCTCAGTTCCTCAAAGACAGTGAATGAGAACAACTCACAGGCTGTCTCTCAGGCTGTCATTCATGCCTAGGGTGAAAAGGCAGCAGATGCACCACCAGGGGAGAAACTGGCCCCCAGGAATGGCTCCCCCACATCTCAGGAGTCTAGGCCTCGTAGAAGAAAGTTTCCTCTGCTGCCACGGAGGTGAGGGGAGCCTCTGATGCCGCCACCTCCTTTACAGCTGGGGTTCCAGGTCACTGCTGAAGACCTGGACCTGGAGAAGAAGGCAGCGCTCTGGTGCATTAATAGTGCACTGCGGGGTTAGGCCAAGGCCATCTGGGACTGCAGGGGCCCTGAGGGCACCAGGGATGCACAGTCTGCATTTAGGCCCCTAGGGGATAATGGAGACCCCTTGCCCTTAGTGCCCAGGCCCAAGCCTCTGCAGAGAGACCTCCATGCTCAGAGGTCAGAAGGCAGATATGACCAGAGATCCCAGCCTTGCAGGATAAGCCCCTGCCCCAAAGGAAATGCCATTTCCAGCTCCTACAGCTGCACAGGAGGCTTCCCGTGCTAAAGAGGAGGAGGGGGCCAGACTCACCCAACTGCCATGTGACCCTCAGTTCCTCACAGACAGTGAGTGAGGACAACTCTCAGGCTGTCATTCACGCCCAGGGTGAAAAGGCAGCAGATGCACCACCAGGGAAACTGGACCCCAGGAATGGCTCCCCCACATCTCAGGAGTCTAGGCCTCGTAGAAGAAAGTTTCCTCTGCTGCCACGCAGGTGAAGGGAGCCTCTGATGCTGCCACCTCCCTTACAGCTGGGTTACCGGGTCACTGCTGAAGACATGGACCTGGAGAAGAAGGCAACACTCTGGTGCATTAATAGTGCACTGCAGGGTGAGACCTAGGCAATCCGGGACTGTAGAGCCTCACGGCCTTCCCAAGCTTTGTCCTCACCTGCAACAGGGACTTGTCCGTCTGCTGTCCCTAAAGCACCCAGCATGGATGCACATCAGCAGACTCACAAGTCCTCAGGATACCTGGGCCGTGTGTCCCTCCTAGCATCTGCTGCAGGGGACCCCTCTAGACCTGCTGTGTCTGGGAGGAAGCGCTGCTCATCAAGCCCCCTGTTCTCCTAATATCCCCTTCCTGACACCTCTTCACACTCCCGGGACACAACCCAGGTCACCTCGCTGATTTGTGCCCCCTTCCCAGCTCCACGTGCGGACTGCATGTGGCCTGAGAAGCCCAAGGCCTGGCACTTCTGCTGCTGCAGCTGCCACAGGGGCCCTTACCCCCTCTACATGGAACCCCACGTGGCGTGCCCCACCAAGTGGAGGGCAAAGAGGCCCCTCACATCCCTGGGCCTCAGCCACAGCTGCAGCAGGTACCCAGTCTGCCTTTCCTGCCTCTCCCAGCAGCAAAAGGATGAAATCCCCAACCCCAATGTGTGTGCATTTCCCTGTCCCCTTCACACAGGGACCCCTTGTTTCCACTGACCCTCTCTCTCCTGGTCTGCAGATTGCTGTATCTGGATCTGGTTCCAGTTCTGCAGCCAGCACATCTGCTAACCTGGCACCCAAGGCAGCAAGTGACTCTGAGGTTACCCTCTTAGATACAGTCCCTTTTCCCAGCCTCTCTTTCTGGGCCCTCCTGCAGCCTCCAGCGTAAGCTTCCTCCAATCTCCTCAGGCCCATCTGATGCGCCTCAGGCACAGCACGTCCTCAGGAAAGGACACCAGCAGCCCAGCAGGATGAAGGGTCTGTGGTCCCACTCCAGTACCAAAACTTCCTGTTACCGCAGCAGCCACAGCCCAGCACAAACCTGTGGTCCTTCATGGGCAGCAGCAGGGAACCCGCACCTCGAAGCACTCTTTTTGTCTTCCCATCTGGCAGCTCCAGTTGCAGCCCCAGCCTCATCTGCTCCAAGAAAGCCAGCCCAGGGCACCACAGCACACTCAGCTGCAGGAGTCTCATTACCCACCACTTGCACCTTAAGTCTCCTGGCCAGAAGCAAGTGGGCCTGGCTGTGGCTGCCGGCTCAGCTGGGTCCCTTCCTGAGGCATCCGCTGCCTCTGCCTGTGAGGTGCATGCTGCCTCCTCACACGGTGCCTCTGCCAAAACCAGGTGGCTTCGCTAAACGTTGAAAGCAGGGGCCCAGCCCCCTTGAGACTGGTGGTTTCTGCAACACAAACGGGCCTGGGGAGCAGAGAGGCAGCCCCAGCTCTGAGTTCCAGAAATGGATCCCTCAGCACCAAAGTGGCAAAGAGAAAGGCCCTGAGCACCACACACAGCAATGGGGTATGAGGGGGCCTGAACACCAGGGGACCCCCACTAGGCAGAGCACCCACGTGGTGGCCGGGGGAGGCAACACAAGGAGCAATTCTATTGGCCGGCATTTTTGTCTTTCCTTTCAGTCATATTTCTGGGACACCATTTAAGCAGTCACCCCCAATTACAAGGTGGGGACCCAGTGCCACTGCAAAACAAGGCAGGCTTTGGGTGCAAGTCTGGGCCAGCTTCTGACCCTGGCAACCCCACTGCCCACGTGGGCACAGCAAGAAGGAACCTGGCCTGTAAGGCTTCCTCGTGCGCTGTCCAGGGTTCTGCTGGACACAGGTCCGCTGGGCCATCCTCCAGCTCATCCTTCTTAAGGTCAGGCTTTTGAGGTCTTCCTCATTGATTCCTTGCCTGGAGCGAAGTCCAGAAGAGTTTTCTCTTGGTTTTCCTCTAACATTTTTGTAGTTTCATATCTTACATTCAAGTCTTGGATGTATCCGGAGGTGATGTTTGTATATGGTGATATGGTGAGAGATAGGGGTCCAGTTTCATTCTTCTGCATGCGGCTATCCAGCCCTCCCAGTGCCATTCACTGAAAAGGGCATCCTTTCCTCTAAGTGTGTTTCTGTCGGCTCTCTTTAAGATCAATTGGCTGTGAATATGTGGCTGTCTTTCTGGGCTCTCTCATGTGTCTGTCCCATTGATCTATGTGTCTATTTTCATGCTATGATCATGCTGTTTTACTTACCACACACTTGTCAAAATTTTTGTTGTTCTAATTTGTAGTAAAATGGGATGCCTCTAGTTTCTTTTTCTATTTGCTGAGGATGACTTTGGCTCTTTGAGCTCTTTTGGTTCCATATGAATTGTAGAATTTCCCAGTTCTGTGAGTGATGACGTTGGTATTTTGGTAGGGGTTGTATTCAATCTCTAGACTGCTTTGGGCAGTATGGTCATTTTAATGCTATGAATTCCTTCCATCCATGAGCACGGGATGATTGCCCATTTCTTTGTGTCCTCTTAAACTTTTTCATCAGTGTTTTGTAGTTTTCCTTGTAGAAATCTCGTACCCCCTCGATAGAATTCATTCTGTGGCATAACGTTTTTCATTTTGTTGCTATTGTAAATGGGATTGCCTTTTTAATTTCTTTCCCAGTTAGACCATTATTGGTGTATAGAAATGCTGATTTTTCTATGTTGATTCTTTATCCTGCTAATAACTGTATTTTCTTATCAAGTCTAGGAGTTTTCTGGTGGAGCCTTTACATGTTTCTAAATCCAGGATCACATCTTCATCAGACAAAGATAATTTGATGTCCTTGTTTCCATGACTTGGGTTATGCAAGGCTCTGCCTGTCAGCTGGCCATCGCGGACCAGCTCTCTTCCAGTGAGAACGCCCAAGCTCTTACACCCCTGCCCCGGGTGTGGCCATGCTCCCTCCCAGAAGTGACCTCCAACCCGATCCTCCTCCCCGTCTTGTGGCATCTGCTCTGGGGAAGGGCATTTTGGCCTCAAGGGCTGAGCGTGTCATTCCGTTTTCTGTTGATCTTTCCAGAGCTGTCTGGGAGAGCCCGTGCATTAGTTCATGTACTGTTTCTATGGAGGCAATCACGGCTTTCTTTCAGGGCTGGATATAAAAGTTCTTGTGAGGCTTCTGTATAAACTCTGCCTTTACCACATGAATAGGACCAGCACGCTTCCACTACACGACTCTGAAATCTGCCTTTATTTATTTACTTATTCACTTACTTATTTTTCCAGGGCCTCAGACATAGATGGTTGTTTGACATTTATGTACTTTTTTTGAGACAGAATCTCACTCTGTCACCCATGCTGAAGCATAGTGGCGGGACCTTGGCTCAACCTCTGCTCCTGGGTTCAAGTAATTCTCCTGTCTCAGCCTCCCGAGTTTCTGGGACTGTAGGCACACGCCACAGCTCCCAGCTAATTTTTGTATTCTTAGTAGAGACCTGGTTTTGGTATATTGGTCAGGTTGGTCTCGAACTCCTGACCTCAGGTGATATATTTGCCTCAGTCTCCCAAAGTGCTGGGATTACAGGTGTACATTAATTAATTATTTGTTAGGGAGTCTTGCTCAGTGGGCCAGGCTAGAGTGCAATGCTGCATTCTAGACTCACTGCAACCTCCGCCTCCTCGGTTCAAGTGATTCTCCTGCCTCAGCATCCTGAGCAGCTGGGGTTACGGACACCTGCCACTGTATGTAGCCAATTTTTGTGTTTTTAGTAGTCATGGGATTTCACCATCTTGGCTAGGCTGGTCTTGAACTCCTGACCTTGTGATCCACCCTCCTTGGCCTCCCAAAGTGTTGGGATTATATGGGTGAGCCACCACCCCTGGCCACATTTGTTTATTTGTTTAGAGACAGGGTCTCCCTCGGTCGCTTAGGCTGGAGCGCAGTGGCACCATTTCAGCTCACTGCAGTCTCTGCCTCTGGGGTTCAAGTGATTCTCATGCTTCAGCCTCCTGAGTAACTGGGACTACAGGTGTGACACCATGCAGGGACAATTTTTTCTAGAGACAGGGTTTCATGATATTGGTCAGGCTGGTCCCAAACTCCTGACCTCAGGTGATCTGTCTGCCCTGTCCTTTCAGAGTACGAAGATTACAGGTGTGAGCCACTGTGCCAGGTATCTCACTAGGTTTAAATGATGCAGTGGCTCATGCCTGTAATCCCATCACACTGGGAGGCCAGGGCAGGCAGATCACCTAAGGTCAGGAGTTCGACACCACCCTGGCCAACATAAGGAAACCCCATATCTACTAAAAATACAAAAATTAGACAGGTGTGGTGGCGTGAGCCTGTAGTCCCAGCTACTTGAAGGCTGAGGCAGGAGAATCAGTTTAACCCGCTAGGCAGAGGTTGTAGTGAGCCAAGGTTGTGCTACTGCACTACAGCCTGGGTGACAGAGTGAGAGTCCGTCTCAAAAAAAAAAAAAACAAAAAACGGTAAAATACATGCTGCCTGGATATCTCGGTCTGAGTGCCTGCATGAGCACAGCAGTGTACAGGCCAGGGCTGCTGGTCGAGGGCAGGTCCCATCTTGTCCAGCAGAAAGGGAATGAGCTTACGGGGAGGCTGGAGAACAAGATTCCAGGATCTCAGCCTCTGCTCATAGATCAGCTCTGAGACCCCAAGTGAGCTGGGGGTGCTCTGTGTGCCTTGGTTTCCCCAGCTATCAAGTAGAGAGATTGGATGAGGAAGTCTCTTCAAGGTGGAATGAACTCAGATTTGGGGCGAAATGAATGGTCCTGCTCCCTGGTGTTGGTGACACTATTAAACAGGGCTGTGGAGAGAAGCTGAGAAGGGTCACATTGCAGGCAGGGACCTGTGTGACAAGCCCCTCTCACCCCGAGAGAGCTGACCAGGCAGCTCAGGAAGTCACCTCCTGGGAGTCTGAGAAAGGTCCTGGCTGGGCTCAGCAACCTCATTGGCCATGGTAGGCTTTGCCGTGTGAGCCTTGCTCACCTGGGGAGGCTCAGGCTGACAGCTGATGTGGACAGTGCTGAGGGTAAACCTGTGGCACAGATGTGGCCAGGTCTCCTCAAGCTGCACTCACCCAAGTAGGACCCAGGCTGCACGCCCATCTCCAGCCCATGGCAGCTCTCCTGTAAGCTGGACAGGCTTCTGAGGGCAAGACGATAGGCAGCTGAGAATACCCAGGGCCCACGCACAGGTGGTGGAAAGGCTGGACTCAGCAGCAACACCAAACCACCAAACCCCAGACCAAGCAGAAACCACCCGAGACCAGGGGCTCGTACAGAGCAGTGGCCGCAGGTAAGAACCCAGGCCCAGGCTGTGTGTGGCGGGAGTCCTCCCTGTCCCAGGGCCCAGCACAGCAAAGGAGCACCAGCCAGGTCATCCTGGCAGCGGTCTGTCCCAGATCCACCTGCAGGGGCAGAAAAGCCTCTCCCAAGGTGGGATTGTCTCTCTCCAGCAAAACAACAGTGGTCTCTGCCCTAATCACACTGCCCAACTCAGTGGTTACTGCTGCTGCTCCAGCGTCCTATGCTGTCCAGCCGGCACCTGTCTGTGCTCATCCATACCCCCCAGGCCTGCCTTCCCTGTGGACTGTGCTTGGCCACCTTGGCCTGATTGAGCACTGAGGCCTCCTGGGCACCCAGCCAATCACTGCACCTGCGTTTTCCGGCCCCCACCCCACTGGCTCAGGGGTTCCACCCAGCGGCGCTGATGATGAAATCAACAAGCACTGGAATCATGTCAGAGAACTTTAATGAAAGTGTCGGCAGTTCTTTCCCCCACGGTGCTGTGCAGGTGGCCGAGCTCATATTGCCGCTGTTAAGACACCAGCCACTTACAGAGAGAAAGCGAGGCTGCTTCAAACCCAGGGCCTGATGCAAAAAAGCATCACTTCTGGTCAGGGAGTCTGGCAGCCATGCCTTGGGGGAGGTCACACTGGCGCCCAGGCCTCTGTCTGCATTGCAGGGGGAGAGCTGGGTCCCGTCCTGGAGAACGCTGCATTTCCCAGTCCCGAACCAGCTTTACCTCTGCACAGGATTTTGAGCCAGGACGCAGGTAAGTGACACACCTCAAGTCCTAAAGCCATCATCACTCCTGGAACCCAGTGGGGGAGGATCCTTTTTAGAACATGGAAAGTGTGGTCATCCCATCATTAGACAAGCACACATCGTACATAAATAAAAGTCGCATGGGGATGCAGGTAGGGGGGAAACGAAAATTGGCACAGCCATCGATAGATTGCTTTCCAGTTTCAAGGCGGCAGATGCACATCATGAGACCAGAGGAGACAGAGACCAGCACTGGATTTGGCTTTTCTAAGCCACATGTGTTCCCTTGCAGGGCTGGAGGGTCACGGAGACAGACAGAGATGTAAGCCAGGACAGGGGAGCCCACCAGACCCAGAAAGTTACAGAGGGCAGAGAGGCTCCTGTTCTGCCTTCCTCACCCACCAGGGTGACTCTTCTTGCAAACGGTGGCTGTGCCCTCCCAGCAAGAAAAAAGCACAACTAAATCCACACCACACACAGACGCAGACAGAAAACCTTCCTGTGGCTCTGTTTTCTGCTCCCAGACTCGCCAGGTCCACAAGCAGAGAAGTGTGAGGCACACAACCCCGCTGTCAGGCTCCCCGAGGTGCTGTGGGCTCAGCAGGAGCTGCCCATCCACACACAGGGGACACTCACTCCTCTGACCTTGGGAGAGGTTGCCGGACAGAGCCGCGCTGGGTGCTGGTGTCATCCTGGGACCCCACACACTTTCCTGGGTGTGATCCTACTTCCCTCCTCTGGGCAGATGCATCCTCTTCTCCTGCAGGATTTTCTGGAAACTCAGCTCTCGGCTTCGGGTCCCTTCTCCCCTTTCCCTGCCCCAAACCTCTTTTTAAAAATGTGATGCAGTTGTTTATGGGTTTATTTCTTGCAAATAGGTGGCAGCCTCCACGCTTCTGTTTTCTTTTAGCAAGATGGTCAGATGGGGTTGCAAAGAATGCCTGGACTCCCATGCACCTGCTGACAGAGGGGGCGGCGGGTGGTCCTGAGCCTCCACCTGCTCTGGGAAGGAGCCCCCGGTCCCTAGGCCTGGTTCCTGCCTAACTCTCCATGTATCCTGTTCTCCAGAGACTTGAGAACCCACTCCTGAGAGTAGCGGAGCCAGGCGCTTAGAGGAAGACAAAATGCAGCCAGGACACGGATTGTCCACGGAATACATTCTAGCATCTTATCAGGTATTGGAATCTGTTAGGAAAAAAATTAGAAACTATGTATAAAACTTAAAAATATTCAAGTATCAAAAGACATTTCAGATCAAAGTTTTAAAACAATTCATCAGCAAGCTGCTGCCACCCAGTGGAGACTTTTACAAAAGCGGAGCACGTCCTCTGAGCTGAGAACAGAAATGAAGCCACCTGTGCTGGGGACACTTGGGGCAGGGAGTGTGGGCAGAGAGAAGCCAGGGAAGTCCTGGCCTGTGGAAGCCAAACAGGAGAGTGTACAACAGGAGGGCTGTCAGGATGGCGGGACAAGGTACCGCTCCCTGGAGGACGAACCCTAAAGTGCGTAGCCTGGGACTCCCCAGGGGTCCAGTCCCCCGACATTTCACAGGCCTCCTGGAGCCGCCATCCAAGGAGGACAAACAGGGCAACAAAGACCCATTTCTACAAAAAATCCTCCCGGAAAAAAAAAGAAAGCCCTGAATGGAGTCATAACACTAGTCAGTGCTGACTTAGCCTCTCAAACCCTGCTCTAAATGGAGTGTGGTTTCTAGTCAGGGAAATGGGAGAGGCCCCACCCACACAGGGACAGGGCCGTGGCCCCACAGGATGAAGCAGCAGCGTTTATTCAAGATACAACAGTGAGGGAATCCGGCCACGATCCCTTCTCCCCGGAGAGGGCGCATCTTGACATGTGATCCAGTAGAAATCTTTTAAACTGTTAAGTTCAGTTCATAAAAACCACTCCCTTCACCCTATCGACCAGGGTCAGGCCTAGACTCTGAGATGCACTGGCTTGGGGCGCCCTCGGGTGGCCGTGTGCAAAAACCACAGTCTGAGGCCTTCCTGGGGCTCCCAGACCTGGCTGGGATCTCCCCAGGCCAGCTGTCCTTCTGCTTTGGGTGGCTGTCTCTTGGCAGATGGCCCACCGCTTGGGGGTGGCCCGAGGACACCTCAGGAAGGTTTATTTCCCGCTCTACAGATGGCCCCATCAGCCAGAGGTTTCCAGGCCATCTATCCGCCTCCTGGAGATGGATGGGGGTATTCAGACTTCGGTGGAGAACAGGATGCTCTGTCTCTTGCTGTCCGGGGCAGGGATGGCCTCCAGCTGCAGGAAGTACAGCAGCACCTGGACCTGCCCGGACAGAGTGGGGAAGTCAGAGCAGCTCAGAGGGGTGCTCACAGCTGCTGGTGGGGAGGTCTTTGGGGCCCAAGCCCCCAAGTCCAGCCCTGGAGCTGAGGCCCCTGCTGGTGCCATGAACCCCTTACAGTGAGACGGGGATGGGGTGGGGTCCTCACAAGGCATGACTGAGGGGGTTGGTTTTATTTCAGAGCCGCACAGGGCCTTGCTCTGTCACCCAGGCTGGAGGACAGCGGCTCCATCATGGATCACTGCAGCCTCTAACCCCTGGGCTCAAGCAATCCTCCTATGTCAGCCTCCCTGGAAGCCTGGACTGCAGGTGTATGTCACAATGCCTGGCTATTTTTTCTAGAGATGGAGTTTGCTACATTGCCTAGAATGCTTTCAAACACCTGGGTTCTGTTATCCTGCCGTGACCTCTTAAAGTGCTGGGATTACAGGCATGAGCCACCACGCCTGAACACTCGGGGTGGTGGTAAGCCCCCGGCAGGGTGCAGCAGCAGGACCAGGAGGTAGCCTGGGCACCCTGATAACACTCCCATTCGTGCAGATCTAGGCAAGTTTCTCTCTGAATCTTGGCCACCTCCACATACAATGCAAATAGGAGGATGGGCAGGACCCGGGGCAGCGCAGGCAGAGGTCACCTGTCAGGTCATGGTGGCATGGGTTGGAGCCTGTCTTCCCATACCTGGGACATGACCTCCAAGGACCAGCTGTCGGTCATGGTGATGGGCTGGCTGGGGTTGGCAGGGAGCTTGCTCTCCTTCTCCGAGGGCCGGAGCAGCGTGGGGCCAAAGACCGTGGCGAGGTTGTGCAGGGACATCTTATTGACTGCCTCCTTCTCTGCCACCCTGTCCAGGACGGAAACAGAGGGGGCTGTTTCAACCACCAACAGGAGAGAAGCGGAAGGGCTGGGCCGTGCTGGAGTCCTCAGGGAGGGAGCGACCTCGACCCTGGCTGTGCTGCAAGCTGACTCCAGCCCTGGTACTTCTGGGTCTAGGTGGCCCAGGACAAGGGGCCTAGGACAAGGGTCCAGCTCTGGGTTGATGGGGAGGTCTCCTTCATGATCTGGATGGGAGGGAACTGGGGGGTTCAAGGGCACTGGTGGCCATGGCGAAAGCTCTGAGCTTTTTGTTAAGGCCACAGTGCAGAGGAAGAAGAGTGGCAAAGAGGAGAGGCTGGGGCAGGGGCGGCAGTGGCACTAGTCCCCAGAGGTAGTGAGGGACTGCAGGCAGGGGTCAGGAGAAAAGGTCCTCAGTATTGGGGGTCTGATGGGAGCAGTGGGGCACCCTGGAGTCCTCGGCAGCCACGGGAGAGCTGGGCTACCTTTTCAGGTGGTCCAGAAGGAAAAGGAAGGTGAGCAGGTTGGCCTCCGGCAGGGACAGCAGCAGGTTGAGCATGCAGCTTTCCTTTGCAACCGGGTCTGAAAGAGCTGCAGGAGGCAGTGGGTCACTCCTCTGGGTCACAACGAGCCAGAGCCCTCTCCCGAGGTGGTCACATGGAACACCTGGGACTCGTGTCCCGGAGCAGCCCAGGCCCCTCATCATCTTCACTCCCACAGTGCCGGTCCCCAGTGAGGACCCTGTGAAGGGCACTTGTGTAGGGTGTGAGCCACCTGAAGGAATTTTTCTCTACCTCACAGGGGTCAGCAGCTCCTGGAGAACAGCAGCAGGAGGTGGCGTGAGAGCAGCCGCCCATGGGCAGAGCCACGCTTGGGAAACTCCCGCTGCCACCCTATCCCCAGGCAGCCTAAGGCAGGGGAGGCTCAGCATGGAATGAAATAAGGGAGGGAGGGACACAAGGAGGTGAGAGGGCCCCAGCCCCACCAGCTACACATAGACCACCTCATCACCCTGGACACCACAGGGGCACTTGCAGGCTGGGAGAGCCGGTCCTCTGTGCATGGGCCTGGAAGGCAGACCTGCTCTAAGGGTGATGTGAAGGCTACATGGCTGCACGGGCCAGCCTTCCGCTTTAGCCATCAGCCTCCAGGTTGACTAAGGGTCAGACCAGGACTGAACCCGTGCTTGACAGGCCCAGGACCTGTGGCTACAGCACCCGGACACCCTCATTCAGCCCTGGTCTGCAGAAAGGAGGACAGCGGAGTTTAGGACCCCACAGCATGGCAGTGCTGACCATTTCATCCTCTTGGTCTCCTGAAGGAATAGGGACAGCAAGCCCTCTGGGAACCAGCGAGGGCTTCAGGACAGGCTGAGTTCTGACCCCTGCTTTCTCAGGTTGGTTAAAAGGCCAACCATGACGAGGTGGCACAGCTTGGGTTCCCACATCTCACTTTTCACAGCCCCCAAGGGCAGCAATGGGCGAGGAGATGCCTCCCAGGACGCCAAGGCCTCCGGTGCTCACCAATGCCCTCAGCGAAGTTGGGGTAGAACTCATCAGTGAAGAGGGGCTCAGGCAGCTCACGGAAGTAGAGCTTCAGCGTGCCTGCGATGGCGTTCACGTCCATCTCGCTCATCATCACTGACACGTCCTTGTTATCTGGAAAGAGAATGGAAGTGCTGCAGCCTCCTTGAGGATCCTGAGTGCGTTTCCCACCATCCCTGCCACGCTGACCACTGTGCCAGACCCTCCAATGCTGTGAACAGCTTATCTTACTCCTCCCCAGAGCTGTGTGTGGTTCTGTTTGTGCAGCGTTGATGGAGGGGCGTGTGCATCCCCGGACCTCTCCCCTGCTTGGCCCGACGTGATGGCCAGGAGGAGCCCAGCATGGCAGGACACAGAACCTTTGAGGGAATCGGAGACTCCGCCCTGTATAGCAACCACCCCCGCACCAGTGTCTTCTGATAGCAGGAAGGCTGTGGGAGAATCTGATGGGTTTCAGTGTTTGAACTGGTGTCTTGTTTTTGGACCCAGTTAGCCACTGGTGCTTACCTCCCCACCACAGGCCAGGTCCATTCTGGAACCCCAGAGGGAGCTGAAACTACCCTAGGGCCCACCTGAGGGTGCTGGGCATTCTAGAGGTCCTGGTAAGGGTGGGTGGTGTGTGCCCCAGAGAAAGGTCCTGTTGCTGTGACGATGCTGGGCAAGGACCCTCTGGGGTCTCAGTGCCCTCCCCTGGTATTTGGGGCACGTTCAGGTCCTTCATAGCCTGTGAGGGTCGGTGAGATGGAGGCAGAGACACTGTAGCCCCGGCCTGAACTGGGTCCATCAGTGCCCTCTGCCCGCCGCATCCTCACACAGGGCAGTGGACAGAGCACACTGAGTCCTGAGCTCTACATGTCCTGTCCACCGCACGGCAGGAAGACTGAGGCCCGCGGAAGCCCCTAGCCAACCTTCAAGCAGCATGGGTGGGTAGGCGGTTTAAAAACTGGCTTCTACAGGCTGGGTGTGGTGGCTCATGCCTGTAATCCCAGAACTTTTTGGGAGGCTGAGGTAGGTGGATCACGAGGTCAGGAGTTGGAGACCAGCGTGACCAACACGGTGAAACCCTGTCTCTACTAAAAATACAAAAATTAGCCAGGCTTGGTGGTACCCCTGTATTCCCAGCTACTTGGGAGGCTGAGGCAGGAGAATCACTTGGACCTGGGAGGCGGAGGTTGTGGTGAGGCGAGATTGAGCCATTGCATTCCTGCCCGGTTCACAGAGTGAGACTCCATCTCAAAAACACAAAAACAAAAACAAAAACAAAAACCTGGCTTTTACAGAAGCTCCTTCTACAACTTGTCTTCTCTTTCTTAAAAATCATAGAACAGTAAATGAAGACAAGACAGAGAGAAGGATGTGACATGCCTGGGCAGTGTTGGAGCGCTGTGAGATCTCATCATGGACACCGCTGCCCACACCCACTCCCGTCCTGCCCAGGCCGACACTCACTGACGTCGAAGGCTGCCTTCAGTGCCTGGATGTCGGTGGCCACTCCTGACACGCGGTAGATGCCCACTTCCTCCATGCCACGGCGCTCAATCTCCTCCACACACTGGCGTACGACATAGGGCACCTTGGACCTCTCTCTCCTGCAGGAGGAGGGCATGTTCTCAGTGTCCTGGCAGCCCCGCTTGGGCCGTAGCACAGGAGACCTGCCCCCTATCTGCACACCTGAAGCTGGGGTGAGGATGGTCACGAAGGTGCCCAGGACAGGCACATACACAGAGCCTTATGCATGCCTGTCCTCCCACTGCCAGCTCAGTCCTCATTATATGCACTTCCTCAGGACCTTTCTAAGAGGCTGAAGCAGCCAGAACCCCTGAGAGTCACACGTGGTCTTTGGGGGAAAACTAGGAGGCCTGTCATTAAAGTCAGCATAGGAAGGGCATCTGAAAGATTCCAGGCCTGGGGTCAGCAGCCTGTGCTCCAAGCTAGGACACCAGACCCAATGTTGGTCCTGCCACCCACGTGATGTGTGAGAGGAGAATCTCTGACCCCTGACCCCTGCTGCTGGCCTTAATAAACATCGCACGAATGAATGAAGTGTTGTCTCAGTACCAGAGCTCCAAGTATTGTGATGCTAAGTGCTTTCTTCCTGAGTCTTAGCAGCGAACAATTCCAATACTGCTCGCCACACAGGACACTAGAGTATGAATATTTCAAAGTTAGAAGACAGTGTTGTGCTGAGGCTTTAACTTTTTAAGTTTGGGTTTTCAACTGGATTTAGGAGCACGTCAAAGCTGCCTCTCAAGCCACCCTCTTTAGCAGTGCTCATTTGGGGGAGCTGCTGATGGAGTCCTCGCTGCTCATGCCCAGAGCCCTCCCAGAGTGCCACGCAAGTGGCTGCCACACAGTTGGGGGTAGGAGTGGTGTTTACACACAGAAAGACGTTCCGGGTGTGACTGATGGAGGCCCCCGGCCCACATGACCAGCAAGGTCAGGGGCCCAGCTGGATTCCATCCTGGGGAAGCAAATGAATTCTTGGAGGGATTCATGTACTTTCAACTGCTCTCAAACCCACAAACAGGCTTCTCCTGGCAACTGACTCGTAACAAAGGGTCGGGGGTTATGACCTTTCAACAGGAACCAGGGACCCTGCAGTTGGGCAGTTCCTGGAGCCAGCCTACTGCTTCCAAGCAAGGCGGCAAGGACATTCCTGAGCTGGTATGGAGTAAACACAGGAGGGAGCTGAGCATACCAACTGCTCCCTGGGGCCTGACCTCACCATGCAGCAACCACCCACAGAGAAGGGAGACCCACACACGCTCCTCCCTGCAAAAACAGCTGAAGGGATGGGCGCCCTCAGTGCACGAGCCCAAGCCCCTCCCCACTCACTTGGTGACCACAGCGATCTTGACTCCGAAGACCCCTGTCTGTTTTCGGGATGGCATCCTCTTCAAGCTAAACTCCCGGCTGGTGAACTTGACCGAGAGCTTTACTTCAATCTACAGAGGGGGGAAGGGGCACAGTCCTCTAATCCTCCTGGTCCTCACGTCTGAGGTCCCAAGGGCCCCTGGGGGTCTTGTCAAATATTTCAAAGCTCAAGGCATGCAGAGGTCTCAGTGTGAGGTGGGGCCACTGCTAGGGGAAGCCACCAGTCTACTTCAGCACGAGCCGGGACTGTTAAAGGTGGCATCAAGGACTGGCTTCTGCAGAACCACCTCCTACAATCCCCGTTGTGCCTCTTGCTTGCTCACTTTTTTTTTACATATAGGATCTTGCAATATTGCCCAGGCTGTACTCAAACTCTTGGGCTCCAGTGATTCTCCTGCCTCAGCCTCCAGAGTAGCTGACACGATAGGTGCACTATGCCTGGCTTTCTCTTTCTTAGTGACAATAAAAATTAGGTAGGAAAGAGTATTGAGACTAACGTAAGAAAAAGCCAAGAATCATCAACTATTAACATTTTACCATAAATGCCCAGGCCTTTTTGGGTGTGTCATTGGTTTAAGGTCTAAATCTTTCGGGGGTTCCTAAAGACAAATCAGGGGTCTCTATTTACATGGGCAGCCCCCCAGGTCCCTGAGCGGAGGCCCCACCTGTCCTGGTGGTGCTATGAGACCTTCGTTCAAGGAGGGATGCTCAGGGCGTGACCAGCAACTGCATCCCAGCCAGCGAATGAAGAGTCCCATGCATGGCGATTCTGCTCTTCGGGGGCCTTCCCTCCTCCAACCAGGCTCCATTTCAGGTGCCAGCTCAGACTTAGCCACCTCTGACTGATTTTAAACAAACAGAGGCCACCCGATCCTTCTGGGGGAAGTGGACACCAGGAGTCCCATGGACACATACCCCATTCATGGCGATGACGGTGCGCTGCCAGTCTCTGTCCTGCAGGGCCTGCGGGTCCAGCTGAAAGCAAGGAGTCATGATTGGCAGAGGCCCTGGGTGTGTTGAGAGGCCCCACAAGGCTTCAGCCCATACCCATCACTTCTCCCCACCCTAGTCAGAGGCAGAGCCCAACTGCAGCCAGCATCTCTATCAAAGGCTGAGAGAGGTAGAGTAAGAAGGGTGTCTGCCAGACACCCCTGGAGCCCAGGGCCCCACTGCTCCCAGAGCCCTGCTGCCTGGGGGACAGCACCCCCTCCTCCCTCTGCCCCTCCCACATGTGCACCATTCGTGAAGGCTTTGACTCCTGCTTTACGGGGAGCACAAGCTCTGTCAGTATTCCTGGTATGCCAAAATCACCGGCTGGGCTGGGTGAATGATCAGTACCTTGGGTGGGGGCGGGGAGTGGTCTTGTTAAAAATATACCTTCCCAGGCTCCACGTGCAGAGAACTAGACTCATAATCTGGGTGGGACCTGGGATTTGCACAACTAGAAACCTCAGGTAGTTCTGGAGTAAAGCCAGGTCAGGGAGCCGCCATCTCACTCCATACAAGGCCACTGCATCTGGGCTTGTTTCCATCCCTTGCTTCAGGGGATGCTTCATTTTAGCCACAAGGCAAGCTGCCTAAGAGCAGGAACCACTCCTCATGATGTCTGCACACATTCACATGGATACACGTGTACACACACACATGGTGCTGAGCACAGCACCAGGCCTGCGTGTACATACACACACACACACACACACACACACACACACACACACAGTGCTGAGCACAGCACCAGGCCTAAAGAGGGGCTAAGGATCAGCATCATATCCACTGCAAGGGACCCTAGAGGCCACAGCCACATGGGTCTTCTGCAGTAAAGTGGCTAAAAAATAAGGAGAAGCTCTGGGGCAGGTCAAGGAGCCCAGCCAGATGCCCCTACCTCACAGGTGCGTGCACCTGCACCCGCTCAGCAAGCAGGCTCACCACAGGCACATCTGGGGGCTGACCCCCTCTTAACTACCCTTCTAGCTCCTACTGGTGAACATTTCTCAAGGATCTGAAAGGTACAGCCAGAGTGGCACGAAATAGCAAAGCATGGCAGGATGTCCCTCGCCAGGGGTTATGTGGTCACAGATTATCATGCTGCATCCTGCCCTGAGGTTTTCAGAGGCCACACTCACAGCTGTCAGGGACCTCACCCTAAGAAGCAGCATCCGTGGGCAGGGACCAGTCAGTCAAAAGCCACATACAAAAAGGAATCTCTCAAGTGGCACTTTCCCCAAGAGTGAACCCTAAGCAGAGGCAGGAGAGGATAACATGAGGGGTGAGGAAAAGGTATGCTTTCTCTGGAAAGGGAGAGTTTAATACCACTGTGGGGAGGCTTAAAAATTTGAAACCTCGCCTATAATATCAGCACTTTGGGAGGCCAAGGCAGGAGGATCACCTGAGCCCATGAGACCTGCCTGGGCAATATAGTGAGACCTTGTCTCTATTTAAAAAAAAAAAAATTGTTTTCAAAAAAATTAGCCAAGCATGGTGGCCCGTGCCTGTAGTCATAGCTACATGGGAGGCTGGGATCGGAGCACTTCTCAAGCCTGGAAGGTGGAGGCTGCTGTGAGCCAAGATCATGCCATTGCACTCCAGCTTGGCATGACCCTGGCTCTAACTAACTGGAAAGGCAGAAACACATTAAGCAGGAGACATTCTTCCCTTTCCTTCCAAGAATAGCAATCACCAGGCCCCTCTTCCCTTGAAAACCCAGAAGTAACAGAAGCAGCTGACAAGCAACCCAGAATCCAGGTAAGCAAAGACATAGAAAGAGAAACTGTCCAGACATCAGGCGGCTGCCCCTCCGATCCTGATGCCCACTGGAACCGCAACCCACATGCCGGCCCACCTTCCCCTTGAGCACCAGGTTTCGAATGTGGGTCCACAGGGTGGTGCCGCGAGCACGCAGATGCTTTTCGGCAGAGGCTGCCCGGCTCCGGCCCGCCCAGCTGGGGTGGAAGTACCGAAGGAGGCCCTGCATCACGGCCGGGGGGGACAGCGACTCTCGCATGCTTGGCCCTGCTGCTCTGGGAAGCTGGTGGAGCTGAATGAGAGCTTCCAGCCTCCGCAGCCTTTTGACCAGGCTTTGAGGGAAACCCCGCCCCGCAGTCCGGCTGGCCAAGGTCAAAGCTTCCCATCACCCCTGGATTCCACTTTTTTGTCTGTGTGTGGGAAGAACATCCTCCCACCCCAGCCTATTGGTTACGGGAATTCCAACCTGTCTCCATCTCCTATAAGGCCCAGAAAAGCTGAGCTTCCTTCTCTAAGTGGCTAGTTTCCTATTGCCCAAGTTTGGAGACACTGAGTAAAGTCTGACTGGTTGGCCTGCCTCGTGCTGGAAGCAGTCTAGACTGCCCAGAATCTGCACCACCCCCAGCAGGTAACCACAGGAATCACACGCAGTGCCTCCGATGGACCCAGGGTGGAGGACACCCTGCTCAGGTCCTGCTCTCCCAGAGCAAGTGCAGCCCTGGGCAGGGCTCTGGCCAGCATCCACTCCCCAGCACTGGTGGTGTCCATCACCCCTCGCAGCCTGGCCCTGATGCTATCAGGTGGGTTCTTTACCAGGCCCCTCTCTGTGACTCCCAGTG